ACATTTTTTTTTTTTTTTTGAGACAGGGTTTCTCTGTGGCTTTGGAGGCTGTCCTGGAACTATCTCTTATAGACCAGGCTGGTTTCAAACTCTGTGAGTTTGAAACCAAGTCCTGCCTGCCTCTGCCTACAGAGTGCTGGGACTAACGGCATGTGCCACCACTGCCTGGCCAGAAACATGTTTAAATGATATCAGCATAATATAGTTAAAAAGGAGAAACACAGCCTGGTAGTTCTATAATCTTAGCACTTGGGAGATGGACATAGGACAAGCTGGAATTCAAGGCTGGCCTAGGATACATAGTAAGTACAAGGGAAGCCTGGAAGCCTTAATACATAAAACATTTTCTTTTTTTTTTTGTTTTTTTGTTTTTTGTTTTTTTGTTTGTTCGTTTTTTCGAGACAGGGTTTCTCTGTGTTGCTTTGGAGCCTATCCTGGCACTTGCTCTGGAGACCAGGCTGACCTCGAACTCACAGAGATCCGCCTGCCCTCTACCTCCCGAGTGCTAGGATTAAAGGCGTGTGCCACCAACACCTGGCTTCATAAAACATTTTCTAAACAAACAAACAAACAAACACAACATTCCAGCGTGCTCATGCGTGTGTCTGTATATGTGAGAGAGAGAGAAAGAGAGAGAATCTATGCATCTTCATCTGTATACTAAGTTTGTCAAATTTGGAACTACCTGAATCATTTACTGAACCTTTTCATATTTGTATTAGTGCTCAGTACTTTATAGATACAGCTATTGCTTTATGGTTTTCCAGTTTGAATTTGGTTTTTTTGGAAAGGCTAGGTGGCTCTACTCCATCCTTTCTAAGCTCTTTGGTCAAGTGAATTGCATTTGTGGCCTCTCTTCAAAAGGTGCCTTACAGTGTATGAGAGCAGTTTTGTAAATTAATATCATCATTAAAAATAAGCTGGCCTCCTCATACACCTCCTTTAACTTGTTATTTGAGGCTGCCGGGTCAGGCTGCACAGACAGCATGGTTTTGGCATGGACCTGGGGCCCAGGGGAATATTAGCTTACAAGACTTTCCCTATTTTGCTTTTACATGTCTGAAACTATTTCAAAACTTAGTGGCTGAAATACAAGTTATTAAATACATGTGACCAGCCTATAAGAAATGCTTTCTGCTCTCTGTGTCCCCTTTGAAGAAATGATAGCTTCGAAATGTCATAATTATACCTGATTGCATTATAATCAAGATTATAAAGGGGTGGTTAACTAAGAGTTAAGGTGATAACACCTACGGTAGGTCCTACATGTAATTTAAGTGTCACGTTTGGGATTAGAAGAATTCTTTCATTAAACTTCAAGAGTTCTTGATGAGTGGAGATGCTGAGTGTGAGATCTAAAGGCAAATGGAATCTTTGGTTTTCAGACCACCACGTCCAACTTTCATCCTTGTACCCTTCTTTCATCCTGGACTGTCTCAGGAAATCAGGGGCCAAATTGGGGAGGGGTGTGAATTTTTCTCACCTAGTATGCTCACCACTCAGTGTAAACAGTCTGTCCCTCTCCCTGTGTGTTCCTCAGTGGCTGCAAGGGCAGACACTGCCTGGGTATGGTGACAGGGACGTTGAAGAGTGTCTGCCAGTCTCCAGCAGCTGGAAAAGGTTTGAGCCCCTTTGGCAGATGTTTGTTGTTCCAGCCACTTCATTAACTTTGGAAACAAAACCCCTGACTATTCTGAACAAAGTTCCACTTTGTGATTGACAGCTGCGGTGTGCTTCCTCCCATGGAAATGTTTTACAGTCTAAGAGTGGCAGAGAGGGCCTGGGAAGGAGCTTGACGGGAAAAAAAAAAAAGAAAGAAAGAAAGAAAGAGAAATTGGGCTGCATGCCATCACTCAAAGCTCAAAATTTAACGAGGAAAGTAGAGACTCATTTAAAGAGAAAGACAGATTTAGTACAACTAATTAAGACTTGATGTCCCATCAAACACATTATAGAAGTCTGTTTCCAGAGTTTTCATGTAATCATTTATTCAGGACACATTTACCGAAAGAGACCATTGCTAGGTGCTATGTGGATATTGATGGTAGGAGCTGGACAAAGCATTAGCCATCAGGAATTCATTGCCCATCGGATGAAAAAAAAAACATGCAAGGGACAACACAGTGAAGGAAATGCTAGCATAGAGTCAGGAGCAGCAAGGGACAGACAGGCCTAGGAATGAGAAAGGGCTTCTTGGGAGAAGGTTGTATTTGAGATGGGTGTCTAGTTTTTCTGTCAGAAAAGGAGGGAGGGGAGAGGTGGCAGGGCATTCCAATTAAAGGCGAGGCTTGTAAAAGGCACGGATTTTGAAAGGTCAACCCTGTGAAGTAGAAATTAGGATTAGCATTTGAAAATGAAAAGCCAAGATCACTATTTAGGAAATGACTACCAGGGCGCCAGAGACTCCAGATTCCAAGATCCAGAACCACCCCCTTCTCCCTCCAGCGGAAATTCGTTTCTACAGGCCCCTCAGATTTCTGGCCTTCCTAGTAGAAAGTGGGAAGAAAGAAAGAAAAAACAAAAAACAAAAACAAAACAACAACCAAACCAAACCAAACAAACTAAGGCATTGATGAAGGGTGTTCTACTTCTTTGCTTATCAAAATTCATTAGAGTTCAAAACAAATCTACAGCAGGGCCTAAATGAATTTTGTGCCTGCCGGCTCTGTGGAAGTAGGGAGTAAGAGGACTTAAAGAAGATGGCCGGGGGAGACATGTCAGGGGGAGAGGGCCAGTACAAGGGCTGATTCCTGTCTGCTGGGCTAGGGGTTCAAAGCCTGTGTCTGCCGATGAGTTATCGTCGGCACGGGGTACACAAATGCCACTCCTACCCGGAGTTTGGGAAGATGGGATATGGAGAAGGAAGAAAAAGAAATAAGACAGAAGGAAGGGCAGAAGCAAGGAAAGAGAAGGGGGCTAAACTGAGACGCTCCAAATGCTAGGACCAATGAGGGAAAAGGAGAAATGATAGGGGGGGAAAGAATTAGTGGGAGAATGAGTGGAAAGAGCAAAGAAAAGGGTTGAAGGAAAGGAGCGCAGTACTTGGGCAGGTTTCCCACAGAGCGACCCAGAGCCTACGGCGGAGCCTGCTAGCGGCCACTCTAGTGCCGGGGCTCGGAGCACTGAATGCTCGCCTCGCTGTCGCCTCGGTTAGACGCGGATCCCGCCAAGCATTCAGCTTCTCAAGCATTCAGCTTCTCTGAGGCCGCTTACAGTGCGGCACTGTACTGGGGACGAAGAGAGCTTCCCAGTATTGCCCTGGCAGCAAGCATTGCGTCCCTGTCCCTGGCCCCATCTCCTCGCACAGCGGGCGGAGGCGACGGATGGCAACGCTCAGACTGATCAGGGACAGGTCTTAGGCCCTCGATCCCCCACAACAGACAGGCCACAGGGTCTTCTAGGCATGAAAGCAAGAAACGCGCCGCCACCGGAATACCTAGCTGTAGTCCTGGCGGGCTGCTTCTGTCTGGAGAAGAAATAAAAGCAATTCCAAATGGCTAAGAGGAAAGCGGAATCAGTCGGACGCAGACACGTGGAAAATAAAGATCGTCAACATGGGCTTCGGGCCATAGCAAACGCTTGGTTATGATTCCGTCTATTACTGCCTATTTTCCTTAAGGGCTTAATCATTAGTTCAACAAGTTTGTCCCTTCGCGGGGTTAAGCACCGGCTGAGGTGCGCGTCCCGACTTGCTTCTGTAGCTAGTCATGCTTGGAGCGCGCAGCCCGGCAGAACACCCCCGAGACTCACGGTCACCCCCAGGGTACCAGCATCGAGGAAGCATCACCAGCTGTTCGTGTCCAAAATCCTGTGTCTCCACGGTCGTTTTCCTTCCCAGCTCCCGTACACCGCTTTAGGGACACACTCTTGGGGCCGAGTGCACCGGGAGGTCGCTTTCCACGGCGGTGCGAGTCGCCGACAGCATAAGCTGTCACAGGCACGTAGGTGCCGGCCCAGTCCCTCTCACGCAAGGATTGTTGTTGAAAACAATTGATAGGGACAGACTCTGAGATTAGGACCCTAAGGAAAAAGGGGCAAACAATCTCCAAACATTTGAAGTCTGTCATGTCTGGGAATGAAAACCGGGACTGGGCACAGGAAAAGCCAGAATTTGGGCTGACTATCGACACGTCGTGATCCCACTCTTTTGGCCCTTTCCAGTAAAGCAAACCGTTTTATGACCAGAATTTAAACACACACACAAATGCACATTATTCCCCCGATTTATTATTGGGGCAACGGGATGTTCTAAGGTCATTTGTAGTTTGGGATCCTGAGACAATCAACTTTACAACCTCGGCGCAAACGTCCCATGCCAGGAGCGCACGGGTGCAGCGCGGGCTTGGGAGCTGCGGCCTGAGAAGGGGACGTCAAGGTCCTGGGAAATGGCCCACGCGGGGACAAGTGAGGCACAGTGGTGGTCGGGAAACGCGTGCTCTGGGGCCCGGAGCCTCGGGAGTCTGGACGAGGACTCCCCTGCTTTGTGGCAAGAGAGGCGGACATAGCTATTCGCACTGTTGCG